ACACATACATTAAGAGGCCATCATAGTGAATAAATACGACAAGGATATAAGCAGTGGCAGAACGAACATACAGAGGGTCATTTGCAAAAATGTTTTGATCCCCCCTATCGCAAGAGTGGCCAAAAGATAGATCCCCATCTGTCATACAACTCCCACGATGCTTTGCCAGTTAGGGATCTTCCTTCTGCCCATCCTTGCAGGGTTGTATTAAAGGGACACCGTAGGCACTGTATCTGTTTCATCTCATTAAACTGGTTATAGTGTCTGGAGTCCCCTGATACCATCATTTCTTTCAGCATTAAACAGTTTTTAATGTTGTAATGTTTTAATGCTAAACAAGAGTCCACGGCAGTCTATCCCCTCTGTGCTGCTTTGGCTAATAAGGAAGTATTACCCTGAGAGGCAATGGGCAGCTGTGATTGGCTGAGAGTGTCAGCTGACTGCTTTTAACCTGTCAGAGCTCCAACTGACGGTATGAATGGGTATGACAACAAGGAAGTGTGTAATCTCTGCCTTAGCTACACATACAGAAGGGGCTGGACTGTGGGTGGCAACACTGAATGGAGGGACAGTGCCAGGCCACTCTAGGCACTATAACCAATTCAAAGAGACAAAGTGTTTATAGTGACTACAGTGTCCCTTTAAGCAATGATCAGTGTTTTGTGTGTTTAAATGTAAACATGTTTTTGCATGGAGTATATGTCTGTGTGAATGTAAGGGTATATTTGCGTGTAGTGTTGGTATCTGCATGCAGTTTTAAGTTTTTATGTACTGTTTTCATTTAAAAGCAATGGTGTACTTGTGTGTACAATATTGGTACATTGAAGAAAATCATTCACAGAAATTGGCCCAATATTGGTGCGTTGAAGAAAATTATTCACAGAAATTGTCACAATATTGGTGCGTTGAAGAAATGCATTCACAGAAATTGGCCCAATATTGGTGCGTTGAAGAAAATCATTCACAGAAATTGGCACATCCTAGAAGAAGATCAGGAGATCCAGAATTTAATTGGGGCTAAACCAAAGATCATTTTTGGGGGGGGAGGGGGCAAATGATTTTCAACGTATTTTGACCAATAGTTTTTTTAGAAATAGAAACACCAATAGGCAGTAAGAAGTTTTCATTACTGCAAAAATTGCAAAAGTAGGAATGTCAAAAAATTCACCTCTTTCTCCACTAAAATAGAATATGACGTGAAATCTTTTATCTCATGAAATTCCCAAAATTTTATATATATGATAATATGTCCCTGTGGATTCCAGTATATAGGGAAAACGTCTAGACCCCTTAAGATACGCATTAGGGAACATATTTATAATATCAACAGAAAATTATATCAACATAGCGCATCAAAACATTTTTTATAGGTCCATAATGGAGAAGCCAGTGGACTAGATTTATTGGGCATTGAAAATGTTAAAACACACTGGAGAGGAGGAGATATTAATAGTATTTTAAGCAAACCTGAAATGAGGTGGATTTTTAATTTAGATACCTTATTACATAAAGGCTTAAATGCTGATTTTGATATTATTTCCTGTATATGAGTTTTACTTTTGTATTAAATTTCCTTTTTAAATATTGCCTTTTAAAAATTGTGTGTATTTTACTAATTATGTCTCTTATTTATCCCATAATTTTCTATTTAGGTTCTTATAATTGTTTTTCTATCTTTTTATTGCTTATCTTATTTAATGGGAGTTTATCTTTAAATATGTATTAGGGTTTGAATGTAGGAATTTTATTTATTACCTCTTTTCTAATGATAATAGGTATGATAATAACCTTGTCTATGTTAATAACCCATTTTATATTGTATTTAATGTCCATATTAAAGGACCACTCTAGGCACCCAGACCACTTCAGCTTAATGAAGTGGTCTGGGTGCCAGGTCCAGCTAGGGTTAACCCATTTTTTTATAAACATGGCAGTTTCAGAGAAACTGCTATGTTTATAAATGGGTTAATCCTTCCTCCAAATCCTCTAGTGGCTGTCTCATTGACAGCCGCTAGAGGCGCTTGCGTGCTTCTCACTGTGAAAATCACAGTGAGAGCACGCAAGCGTCCATAGGAAAGCATTGCAAATGCAAATTCAGCCGAATGGGCGGAGAGGAGGAGGATCGGAAGAGGAGAGCTCCCCGCCCAGCGCTGGAAAAAGGTAAGTTTTTACCCTTTTCCCTTTTACAGAACCGGGCGGGAGGGGGTCCCTGAGGGTGGGGGCACCCTCAGGGCACTATAGCGCCAGGAAAATGAGTATGTTTTCCTGGCACTATAGTGGTCCTTTAATGGTATATATTATTTAATATGAGAGACTCCAAAAAAATGGCGTTAGTTCACCGCCCTGTATGGGCATGTGTAAGACACCCACAGCTCCAAGGATGTAACAACCCACTAGGGTAATTACATCGGAGCGTAAGGATGCCGATAAACGTAGGGCGTCCCAACGCAATCTGATGACGTCAATCAAATAGTGTGAATAGCCAGTCACCGTCTCATGACAAATGCGGAAACGGACCAGCAATATCAGCAACAGCTGTGAAAGGGCAAGAATTTAAAGATTTGAAAGATGGACTATGGAGGACAACAGGAGCAACCCACTTCTGAGGAAGGCTTTTAGCCGAAACGCGTAAAGTGGACTTTGTAGTTTATGTAAGATCTGATTTCTACTTATATTTATTTTTCCAATAAAGTTTTTTACCTTTACCTAATTTCCTGCATCCTGGATTTGTACATGGTGTAAGACGAAGGGACAAAAAAACACCTAGACCCACTTCCTGCATCCACTGGGTCCTCCAAATTAAGCATCTAGTCTGAGACAGCTTATTTTAAGTGGCTCAGAATCATGTGAGGTGGACCAGAAAAACACTTATACACTTTATATGTTTACTGTATAACGCTATGGTTGTCTCTTTTTTCTGTTATTTATAGATTCCACGCAGTTTTGCTACATGGTGGTATTTATACAATTTGTGTGCTCTCACATTTTTTTATATATTGTATTCACTGTTGTTGTGTGTGATTTTCGAGTGATTCACACAGGTGATAGAGCACTTTCCTTTTATCATATTCTTACTTTTGTATTTTATTTGTACTTGTGTGTAGTGTTTGCTTTTGAATGTAGGGGTGTGTTGTGTTGACGTTTTACTGCAATGGTGTGTTTATATGTATTGTTGACGTTTAAATGCTATGATGTGTTTGTATGTAGTGTTGGCATTTGAATGCTGAGATGTATACAGATATGCACACACACTTACATACATGCAGATACACAGACACATATGCAGGTAGACAGACACAGATAGAAACACTGACACAAGTAGATACACATACTGACACATATGCAGATATACAGACACATAGTAACAATGACACATATACAGATACACAAACATGCACATATATAGACACACTGACACCCATACAGATACACAGACACATAAAGAAACACACAATGACACAAATACATAGACACATAAAGAAACACACAATGACACAGATAATTCAGAACAGCTTTAATTGTTTCCAGAATATTGCCATATAAATCCAAACTTTATACAGAAGCTGAGCCTCCAAACTTACATCTGATCCTGTACACCCACCTTGACTATCTGTCTGTAACTGTGTGTGTGACAGTCTACCTGTAACTGTGTATGTGCCTGTCTGCAAGTAACTGTGTGTGTCTGTCTGCTTGTGACTGTGTGATGCTGCCTGCAATTGTATGTGACTATCTAAAAAATATATAATAAAATCAGGGATTGGTGCAGGATAAAACAATATGGTGCTACAATCACCTAATGCGTTAACTCCCAATACACACCGAAAACGTGACACATATACAATAAAAAATAGTGAGAGCACTCAAAATATAAAAGGTTTATCACAAGTAATTTTTCAATACACCAAATAGAGTTTGACAGCTGCTTCTCAGAGTCTGCTTTAGGGAAAAGATTTTCCAATAAACACAATTCGTCTATAAACTCTCAATTATAGCAGACGGCCTGGAATGTAGCATTAACTAGGAAAGCCAAGACATAGGGCCCACAGATGCAAGAATCCCACTGCCAATAATGCGTACTGGCGTTAGAGAGTTTATAGATTGATTTTAGATAAAGGAAGACGCAGTACGCCATAATGTTTTTCTATTATTCTAGGCTTTTGTGCTGGCCTTGGATAGAAGCTGTTTTGGAATTGCAGCCCTTCCACAAATCAGCTTTGTGAAGCATAACACTGGATCTTTCACTTTTCTGTAATTCAAAGATATATTCTTTATGAAATACTGAACAAGACTGCATGGAATTTCATTGAAATTCCAACGCAATACAAACATACTATAGAGACAACTTTGTCTCATGCTAAAGCATTTTTTGTCCAATCCCAGCAGTGGTCACAAACGACAGCTGCGGGATTCAGGCTGTCTAACTATGAAGGATCCTGCGGTCTTGCACGATCCTCCATAGACCTCAGCAGGCTCGGACTGGCCATCGGGTACACCGGGCAAATGCCCGGTGGGCTGTGATACCCATGGGCTGAGGCCGGCAGGGGAGATCACAGGATCTCCCCTGCCGGTCTATGCAGGGCCGGCACTATCCGAGCGCCGGCCCCACTGCATTCCATGACGGGCCGGTCAAAGATCTCCCTCACCGGCCACCATACAGTGTATTACAATTGTATTACAATTGCTGGTGGGGGAGAGAGGGAGGGAGACAGGAGAGGAACCCGGAGGAGCTCTAACTTGCAGCTCTGCCGGGTTCCTTTTGCGAGATTCGGAGCATTGCCATGGCAACACTCCGTGTCTCGCGAGAGTGAACTCTAGCCTCACAGGCTAGAGTTCACTTACCACTAGGACCACCAGGGATGGCAGCAGCACGATCCCCCCTCCCAGGCTAAAGGTAAGAAGGGAGGGGGGATACAATCACTCACAGCACCCTCACACACACCCTGCACCCCTGACACAGCACCCTCACTCACACACACACACTGCACCCCTGACACAGCACCCTTACTCACACACACACACTGCATCCCTGACACAGCACCCTCACTCACACACACTGCACCCCTGACAATCACAGCACCTTCACGCACACACACTGCACCCCTGACAATCACAGCACCCTCACTCACACACACTGCACCCCTGACACTCGCAGCGCACACTCACACTGCACCCCTGCACCCTCACTCAAACACAGCACACACACTCCACCCCTCACACACAGCACCCTTACTCACACACACTGCACCTCTGACACTCTCAGCACCTTCACACAAACACAGCACCCATCACACACACACACACACACATCATCCCTCCCTTCCCCCCACACAGTACCCTCACACTGCAAAATACCCTTGGCATTTTTGTCTCCTGGTATCCCATCTTTGGAGACACCAGAGACATATTTCAAGCAAACAGTGCAAGCATGTTATTAAATTTGCTTGCATTGTGCAGAACAAATACAGGGTCTTTTTCTCATTCTAGAGCTCTTCAGCAGAGCTCTGCACATGGTGTGCCCTGGAAGAGCATTGAAAAACATGATCATTTTGTGATGGGGCGTGCTTGTCATTGGTGATGACAAAATACACCCTATCTGGCCCCGCCACCTTTTTAGTGGGCCACTGTAATTAAAAAATGCCCTGGCAGAATTTTCTTCCCAGTCCAGCCCTGGACCTCAGTGTTGTATTCTTGGACATGACAGGCTGCTGGCACCTGAAGCACCAGGAGTCAAATAGGACAGCAATATGAAGATGGCGGCAATAGCCAGCCCGCCTGAACAACACCACGGCTTAGCAATACTACACCTACTGTGTCCCATCTGTTCAGTAATGTCACCTTCATAGTGCTAGACAGACTTATAAGATTAATAAGACATATTATTTTATACAAACATATCTTATTATTTAGCCAATATTATGAAGTAAAAGTTCAGAAAGTGGGGCTGTCACCATGGAAACCAATGTATAAAGAGTAATCCCCCCAGAATGACTTTTTATACATAATGCAATAGTGGATGATGGAGAATTAATAAATAAATAATGTAGTAGGTCTGCGGTAAGGCAAGGATTGATCCTCACTAGGCAGGGCATAAGGACAGATCGTCCCACAGCGGCTGATGCAGCGCTAATGGCCGCCCGTCTCCATGGATACCGTCATCTGCCATTTACATAGCGCTGGATTACGTGCGGGTACCAGGAGCGAGACAGGCTGCCTAGTGGGCGGGGCTTCAGAAGCCGACCCCTACGTCACCTCCGCCATGCCTGTCTCTGTGGCCCCGCCTCCCCTGCCTGCTCCTATTTCTCGTGCCCGAGGACCGCGCCTTGTCTGCATAGCGGGCCGACGGGTTAAACCATCGCAAGGAGAGGGGGTGGCACGGACACAGTCTGTACCAACCGCCAGAGAGTAAGGAAAGGAGGGGCAGGATGGCAGCGGGACGCATCGGCTCTTACTCGTCCCCCTCCAGCAGCTTTAACGCTGGCTCTGGGAACAACCACAGCGCAGCCAGCGAGGAGGAGGACGGACACAATCTCTGGTCAGTGCTGTCACCCAGCGCAGGGCCCCGGGCAGTGAATGGGCAGAGGAGGCAGGGGCTCCCATTCATTCTACAGACCGTTACTGACAGTGTTATGAAGCGCAGGGAGTGGGCGGGGCCAGCCTATGATTTGACAGTTAACCCTTCCAGCTCAGGTGGGCAGGGCAAGTGGGTGTGGCCAGGCGGTTTACCTGCCTAATGTTATTTATGGAGGCTGGATAACGGGTTAGAGTGGGTGGGACCAGACGGCTGGCTTTACGTCAGGTGCTTGTTACGCATGCGCAGATTGCAGCTTGCTGGGGCAGGCTGTCAGGTGGTGTTAATGGTCCATGTCTGATCACCTGTCAGTGGGCGGGGCCATGTGTGTTTATTATGGACCATGGCAGCTCACCTGTCTGTGCTGGAGGTATGAGAGAGCGCATGTCTAGATGTAGTGAGGGAATAGCTGTGCTGTATCTGAAAAGCTTTTTAAGTGACTAAAGTATAGCTGTTTCTCAATATGGGCTTTTATAATACACGTCTGGCTGAATTGTGTAATGGAAATTTAAAAACAAAAGGGTTTTTTTTTTTTTTTTTTTTCTCGATTGGTGCCAAAAGGACTGGAGATGCCTGTACATGAAAGAGGTTTGGTACTATTTAAAGGGACACTATAGTCACCAGAACAACTACAGTTTAATGTAAGACTTTGTACGTCCCTGCTGGCATTTTAATGTTAAAAACTGCCTTTCAGAGAAAAGTCAATGTTTACATTACAGCCTAGAAACACCTGGTGTGTAGTTCCTGGATCAGATCAGCATCACCACGCTCTGAACGTTCCCCATAGAGCAGGGATGCCCAACAGGTAGATCCCCAGATGTTGTAGAACTACATCTCCCATGATGGTTTGCATGCCTTTAGAATGACAAAGCATCATGGGAGTTGCAGTTCTACAACATCTCGGGATCTACCTGTTGGACAGCCCTGCCATAGAGCTTCAGTACATCTCTGAGGAGATGCTGATTGGTGTGGTGTGTTGCTGCGCATGCGCAGTAGCCCACAGAATCTCAGCCAAGGAGGTGGATAAAGGGCAGAGACAGCCTTGACGAGACCTACATGGTGCTGGAAAAAAGACGAGGTTTATAACTTTTTAAACTTGGCAGAAGGGGGCCTGGAACTTTCACATCAATTTTAAAACTATAGTGTCAGAAAAACACATTTGTATTCCTGACACTATAGTGTTTCTTTTAATAATTAAAGAGTCCCTATAGGCATCTGGACCATTTCATCTCCTTGAAAGGGTCTGGGTGCAGTGCCCCTGTTTAACTCCATAAAATCTTGCATTTTATGAGAAACTCCCTCTAGCGGCAAATCCTGTACCCTTATGGTGTTTTATTTTGTGAAAGGTCTTCAAATTGCCCATTGCAAAGCATTGATTCAATGTTCCTATGGGACTTGAGTGCTATGCATTAGGTCCTACTATCACCTTAATGTTGGAGGAGGAGGAGGAGACGACCCAACCAGTGCTGAAAAGAAGAAAGGGAAACCCAATTTCTTTCCACTTAGATCACCAGATAGTTGTGGGGCACCCAATAAGTTTGGGAGAGGGGTCCCTATGTTTGTGTTCCTAATGCTATAATAATAAGGTGAAAATTGCCCCCTGTTTTTTAATGCATTAATAATATGTTACTATGAAAGATATTTCAATTAGGATCTAAATTAAGTTGTTATAGTGCAAGGAGCCCCCCAAAAGCACTCTTACCTCAAGTCGCCTCCAGCGGCAATGTCCACTGCCCCCCAGAAAGCACAGAGTGCTGATGGTAGGGGCCACCGCTGATGGGTTGAGAGCCATCTGCTGATGCGTTCAACCAATTACTGACTCCCAATTCACAAAACTGGCTTGGAAAGTAACGCACCTTTCTCAAGCCAGTTTCGTGAATGGGGAGTCACTGATTGGCTGAGAGACTTAGCTGACCGCTTCATTCACAATTTAAATGAATTTGTTTTGATGCCTGCAGTGTCCCTTTAATGTTCTGGTACTCTGGTGTTCTGGGCCCTGCAGTCTGACAATTTTAAACTCTGTATTGTGGATGTCACTCAGACGGCAACGAGAGGTGCTTCCTGTTGTGGTCCTGCAATCTTTGCGGGACCAAAGCTTGGCATTATCACAGGAAGAAGCCGAACACTCCCCATAGTGATGCACTTATCTAATGCATCTCTATGAGTAGTTAATAGGTGCAGCATGGTGCTTGTCTCCAATGCTTCCTTATGGACATTCGTTGCATTGAATGAGGTAATCCATTATAATTACTTTGGCTGGAGCAGGGCTGTAGAAAATAATTAGTAAGTAAAACGTCTTTATTTTTTTTGTTTCCTGGGATCTAGAAATAGACGCTATAATGTTAGAAATACAGTTTTGTATCTCTAATTCTGGTGTTTATTCAGGGTTTTTTTTTTTTTATATATATATATATATATATATATATATATATATATATATATATATATATATATGTATGTATATTTTCAGTAGGATAAAAAAATCTGTACACTGTATCCCAGTAATGATAAGGGTAACTATAGGGATAAAAATGTGGTTCATGTAAAAGAGACAATACTGTTGTAAATGGTGATGTAAAGAACAGAAAAACAAACAGTACTTTGTTCCTCTAAACAGCATAACACACCCTTGACCTTTGCACCTTTTGTATTAGTTTACAACACAATGTTTTATTTGGTGTTTTAAAGTGCATTCATGAATCTGATTTCTGGTAATCCAATAAAACTGTTAAAAGAAAGCAACACTTATTTTATATTTAATCCCCCTCCGTAATTTTGATTGCATTTAAAGGACCGTTTACTTTCATTGAAGTGGCCTGGATGCAGTGACTGTTTTGTAGAAAATGCATTGTTTCTATTGCAGGTTGGTTTAACAAACCACTTTTTACAGACCGCCACTAATGGCAGTTCCACATTGAGAACCAAGTCAAACTCTCTTGTCAATTAAATGCTGCTCTGTTGATGCAGTCTTACTATTTGCCACACGTGCACTAGCCTCCTATGCATTCATGGGGGCATACTCCTATAGTAAACGTGTTTCTATTCCTAAAGGCTGTAGTGTTCATTTTTAAGGTCCGTAACCTTCATACATTTTGGATCTTCATAATGACTAGAGCAAACACTTTAGTCGGTTATGTTAAGCTGGAAATCGTTAAAGAAACACTATAGTGTTAGAAATACAAACTTGTTCGATTCTGGATACTACTTGATGAATTAAGTAGGGATCGACCAATGTTGTTTAAAAATAAATAAATAATAATTTTAAAAAATTCTGTGAATCTTTCAGGCCGACAGCCGTTAATATACCGATTTTATTCTGTACATTTACCATTTTGAAAAAATAAACCATTCATACACAAATCTACTTAACTGAACATGTTTATTATTTGCTTATTTTTTTTAAAGATTTTTTTTATTTTTATTAAGTTGTAGAAGCACAAAATATACATGCCATTCAGATTTATTTATTTATTTTTCAGGAATATTTAGTGTTGTTCCCCTTCCCATCTCTGTCCCTTAGTGTGCCCCTCCTGGTCTCTTAGTGTGCCTCCCCCATCCCCTCCCTGGTTTGCCTCAATACCTCTCGCGTAGCATAGCACGGTACAGGAGCTTCAGTTTCTGACAGGAAGTGCTCGCCCAGTGAGCGCTGGGCCACTGACGCCTCTC